TGTGCCTGGGGTTGTGCTGACCCAGGTGCAGGACCCTGCACTTGGCCTTGTTGAACCTCATGAAGTTGGCATGAGCAAACCTCTCCAGCCTGTCAAGGTCCCTCTGGATGGATTCCTTCCCTCTAGGGTGTCAGCCACACCACCCAGCTTGGGATCATCAGCAAACTTGCTGAGGAGACACTCAATCCCACTGTCCATGTCTGCATCAAAGATGTTAAACAGCACTGGTTCCAATACTGACCCCTGAGGAGCACCAATTGTCACTTGTCTCTACTGGGACACTGAACCATTGACCACAACTCTCTGGGAGGGGCCATCCAGCCAATTTCTTATCCACCAAGTGGTCCATCTGTCAAATCCATGCCTTGTGAGTTTGCAGACCAGGATGTGGTGTGGGACAGTGTCAAAGGCCTTGCACAAATCCAGGTAGATGTCATCAGTTGCTCTGCCACCATCCACCACCTCTGTAGCCTTGTTCTAGAAGGCCACCCAATTGGTCAGGCATCACTTGCCCTTAGTGAAGCCATGTTGGCTGTCACCAGTCACCTCTTTATTTTCCATGTGCCTTAGCAGACTTTCCAGGAGGATCTGCTCCATGACCTTGCCAGGCACAGAGACTGACCAGCCTGTAGTTCCCTGGCTCTTCCTTCTTCCCCTTTTTAAAAAACAGGGGCTATGTTAGCAGGAACCTGACCTGACTGCCAGGACCTCTCAAACATGATGGACAGAGGCTCAGCAACTGCATCTGCCAGCTCCCTCAGGACCCATGGGTGAACCCCATCAAGTCCCACAGACTTTGTGCACCTTCAGGTTCTTTAGATGGTCACAAGCCTGTTCTTGTCCTACAGTGGGGGCTGCTTCATTCTCCCAGTCCCTGCTTTGACCTGCTGTGGCCTTTGTGCTGAGACTGGAGCCCTTGCCAGAGAAGGCTGAAGCAAAGCAGTCATTGAGGACCTCAGCCTCCTCAATTTCCTGTGTTGCTATCTAGCCTGTTTCCTCCAGGAGAGACCCTACATTCTCTTTGGGTGTCCTTTTCTCCCCAGCATACCTGCAGAAGCTTTTCTTATTGCTCTTAAGATCCTGGCCAGATTTAATTCCCTCTGGGATTTGGCTCTCCTCACCTGATCCCAGGCTGCTCAGACAACCTCTCTGTAATCCCCCCAGGATACCTGCCCTAGTTTCCACCCCCTATATGCTTCCTTCTTCAGATCCAGCTTTTCTAGGATCTGCTCCCCAGCTTTGGCTTCCTGTTTCTATCCTTTCAGGAGATCAAAGACCAGGAGACTGTGGACAAAGTCATGGAGGCCCTGGACAGCGACGGGGATGCAGAGTGTGACTTCCAGGAGTTTGTGGCCTTCATTGCAATGGTCACTGCTGCTTGCCATGAGTTCTTTGAGCATGAGTGAGCTGGTGGGGAGCAGGTGAGCTCACCTGGAGCTCTTCATGCTGGAGAGATGCAGAGCAGCACTGCTCCTCTGGGAACCAGACTGAGGGTGACTGGGGGCTCCCAGGAGCTAAGCTTGTGCTAGACTTAAGTTGCTTATTAAGTTCTGTGGCTTCGTGAACAAAAAACACCCACATGGCTCAGGAAAGGCTGCTGGCCAGTGCCCACCTGGCTGGATGTCATGTGTGAATGCCTTGTCTCAAGGTGCTTCCCTGCTGCTGCGTGCAAGGGACCTGCATGGGGCTGGAGGCAGGGGGATGCTGCAACCCAATCCTGCTTGCAGAGGGAAGGGGCACATGGAAGGGCTGAAGCACGAGGTGAAGCAGAGGAGCTACTTAGAGAGGCCTGGTTCTGAGCCCACTGGCCTGAACAGAATCGTTTCCGTTGATTCCTGTGGGCTCTGACCATCCTGTGCATGGTACTAACCCAGGCAGCACACCCCCTGCCCTGTCCCAGGAGCTCAGCACAGCCCCTGCCCTGTCCCAGGAGCTCAGACATTCTCTTTGGGTGTCCTTTTCTCCCCAGCATACCTGCAGAAGCTTTTCTTATTGCTCTTAAGATCCTGGCCAGATTTAATTCCCTCTGGGATTTGGCTCTCCTCACCTGATCCCAGGCTGCTCAGACAACCTCTCTGTAATCCCCCCAGGATACCTGCCCTAGTTTCCACCCCCTATATGCTTCCTTCTTCAGATCCAGCTTTTCTAGGATCTGCTCCCCAGCTTTGGCTTCCTGTTTCTATCCTTTCAGGAGATCAAAGACCAGGAGACTGTGGACAAAGTCATGGAGGCCCTGGACAGCGACGGGGATGCAGAGTGTGACTTCCAGGAGTTTGTGGCCTTCATTGCAATGGTCACTGCTGCTTGCCATGAGTTCTTTGAGCATGAGTGAGCTGGTGGGGAGCAGGTGAGCTCACCTGGAGCTCTTCATGCTGGAGAGATGCAGAGCAGCACTGCTCCTCCGGGAACCAGACTGAGGGTGACAGGGGGCTCCCAGGAGCTAAGCTTGTGCTAGACTTAAGTTGCTTATTAAGTTCTGTGGCTTCGTGAACAAAAAACACCCACATGGCTCAGGAAAGGCTGCTGGCCAGTGCCCACCTGGCTGGATGTCATGTGTGAATGCCTTGTCTCAAGGTGCTTCCCTGCTGCTGCGTGCAAGGGACCTGCATGGGGCTGGAGGCAGGGGGATGCTGCAACCCAATCCTGCTTGCAGAGGGAAGGGGCACATGGAAGGGCTGAAGCACGAGGTGAAGCAGAGGAGCTACTTAGAGAGGCCTGGTTCTGAGCCCACTGGCCTGAACAGAATCGTTTCCGTTGATTCCTGTGGGCTCTGACCATCCTGTGCATGGTACTAACCCAGGCAGCACAGCCTCTGCCCTGTCCCAGGAGCTCAGCACAGCCCCTGCCCTGTCCCAGGAGCTCAGCACAGCCCCTGCCCTGTCCCAGGAGCTCAGCACAGCCCCTGCACTGTCCCAGGAGCTCAGCACAGCCCCTGCACTGTCCCAGGAGCTCAGCACAGCCCCTGCACTGTCCCAGGAGCTCAGCACAGCCCCTGCACTGTCCCAGGAGCTCAGCACAGCCTCTGCCCTGTCCCAGGAGCTCAGCACAGCCCCTGCCCTGTCCCAGGAGCTCAGCACAGCCCCTGCCCTGTCCCAGGAGCTCAGCACAGCCCCTGCCCTGTCCCAGGAGCTCAGCACAGCCCCTGCCCTGTCCCAGGAGCTCAGCACAGCCCCTGCACTGGCCCAGGAGCTCAGCACAGCCCACACATTTTCTGGCAAACTGAAATGCCCTTGGCTTGAAAGGCAAAGCATAACCATCTAACAGTCCAGGCTCTTGTCTTGTTGATGAATCCTCCTGCTCTTCAGCAGCCCACAGACCTGGAAGTGAAAGTAACAGCTCCTGGGCTTGGATGTGCCTTGGCAAGGTCTCCAGGTTCAGCCAGTGGGATGGGGGGTCCACCCAGTGTGATGACAGTGCCCAAACGTGGACCAGGCACAGCTTCCAGAGTGTGGAAACAGCAAGAATAAAATGTTGTGTCGGTCTCTAAGCTGCAACTAGTCCCTGGTGAAAAATGAGTCCCTTTGTCTCAGGCTGTGTGTGCCTCCCTGGCTGCCCTGCACTGTCAGAGGGAAGGCTGGAGCTTCCTGTTGGGCACCAACCCTTCATCTCCTCCCTGCCAGCCCTGCTGGACAAACAGCTCAGGCCTGTCAGCATCACCGTGCAAGAAAACAGCAAGAAAAATCACTTACCGTCAAAAAAAAAAAACCCAGCAAACCCAAAATATGTTTTTTTTCCACAAATCCTCCACAAATCAAATGCAGACTTCTACACACCCCAGAAGAAACACTCCCAACCTCACTGAGTGGAGCAAAGCAATGGCACAAACACAGCCTGCAGCACTGGGCCATGGCTCCCATGTGCTCTGAGGCTGTGCTGGCACCAAAGGGTGCTCCTGCCTCCTGGCAGGATCCTGACATGGGAGCACACCTGCTCCCTCTGCACTTTCAGCTGGAAAACACATTTCAAGAGAAAGCAGCAGCTTTTCTGGGTGATCTGTGGGCTGAGGCTGTTCCCCTCACCAGATACTAAATCCAAAGGATGTGCCTTCCTCACTGCACTGCAAGAGGAGGGAATGAGAGTGTGGGTAGGTTTTCCATTCTGAAATGCTCTCCACACTGCATTTTACTGAGTACAAAGCCTGAGTTCATCCTGCATCCCCAACAGTGTGGGATTCCAAATGCAGGGGGAAAGCAGCTGACAGAGCAGGAAACTAGAAGAGCTTTTCAAACACTACAAAATAAAACGCCTCCAAAAACCACTAAGGGCCAACAGGCAACTGATCTTTAAAAGTCCACTTTTGTATTTTCTTCCCACTCCAATTTTGACTCTTGCACATGTAGGTGTTCCAGTTCACAAGCACAGGCACAACCACCACGGCACTGCCACCCACGTTTGGCAAAGAAAAATACCAGATACCAAGACAAACTGTTATTTTGCAGTGACCTTTGCAAACCAGGGTTTAAAGACTGGTAGGAAATTAGCAAACATTCCTCACTTCCATAAGAAAACCTCTATGTTTAGTTGAGAACAGCATTGTTTAAAAAAAAAAAAAAAGACTGGAGAAAAAGACTGGTGTTTATTATTCTGGTAACTTGTGTTGAAATCCAAAAAAGATGGAAATCTGCTCCTATAGCAACTGGCATAACTCAACTGGAAATAAAGCTCAGTGTGTCTAGTTCCTCCTAAACAAAACAACTGGTCACAAAAAAGCTACCTAAAGACTGTAGCAAAAATTTGTCATGACAAGAAACTCTGGCTTTGAAAAAAATCTCCTCTGAAATATCCGACCACGTAAATATTTAAAGTAAACATCAGTTTAGCAGTAAGAGTGACTATAACCAGCATCAGGTACATCCCAAATTGCCAACAGTTAGAGAATTACTCAGTGCCATTTTGTTGGCTGCAAATTAGTATAATCCTGCTCTGTCATGTACCAACCATGTCCATGTCCATGACCATGTCTGGCCCCACACACTGCAGCATTTCCCATGTGCAAGCTTCCAGAACACTCCTTTTTTGGCTTTAAAACAGGGTTGAGAATATGCAACAGAAACCAAGACCAGAAATCCTTCCAAAAGCATCCTTAAAGTGCAGAGAAACATCATTAAATAAACAAGGGACTTGGTACAAAGAATTAGAAATGTACAACTAAAGGAAACTGTTTTCTTTTTCTTCTGCTAAAATAAATTCCTGGGTAACAATAAGTGATAAATAAAGGCAGCAAGTAGCCTCAAAGCACTGCTGCTGGGATGACAAAAAGCTTACAAAATGAAGCCAGTGCAAAGTGCTGGCTGACAAAGACCAGTGCTGCAACCAAGGCAGATTTATTAATGCTTACAAAGTCATTTTGTACCCACTGGGCTCTGGCCTCACATCCCAGAGCAGCTCTGAGACTTTGCCAGCAGCCCCTTCGTGGCACCTCAACCTCCCTCCCTCAACCAGCTACAGCCACTTGGTACCTCAGGAGATGGGGCTTAGAACACCCTCCTTACTACCCTTTACCTTCCCCAAAGTTGAGGTCAATAAAACAAACAAATGTTTCTTCTCTCTTTACCACAAGCTTAACATGCCAAAACTCATTCAATTCCAGATGAATTACACATTTTTGACACCCCTCTTCACTAGTTTTGAGAAAGAGGAGTCAAACTGCCCTAAAACCTGCCAGCTTGAAATGCCCTTCACCCACAGCATTGTGCCAAGCACAACGTGTGTCATTAGCAGTGACAAAACCAGCAAAGGCTCCAAGATCCTTCCCTCTCCCACATACACTGCTTCTAGAAACAAACCCTATTTTGCAGGATGAATTCCTGCTTGTTTCCTAAACCCACTGTTGGTAAAAATCTACTTTCTGTAGGTGTACCATCTCCTTTCCCTCTTTGAACAAAACCCTTTGCCTTCACTTAAGAGACTAGAAGTTAAATTATTTCCACCTACAAAGAACCACACCTCTTGCAGTCTGGCTAAGAGCAGCTGCTTTGGCCAGGAACCCCTAGAAGAGGGTTTGAAAAAAAGTGCTGGCTGAAAACAAAACAACTGAGACCTGCCAAGAGGGTGGGATCCCCCTGTATCCAAAGGGTTGTGCACACACCTTGGCTGTGGGGAGCCTCCCTCAGCAGGCTGTCATCTGCTGTGCCCCAGAAGTATCTGCATTGAGCCTTGTTTCAGATAAATCATTCCATTTGGAAACACTCTCTGGGGTCCTGCTGCTGCAGCACCTCAGTTTCTGCTAATACAAATGAAACCTAATACAAATTAAACCAGACACTACCTGCTGTCAGCCATGGGCCAGGAACACTTCTTCTTCTAGTGACTTCTACAGCTTTTCTGCCTGCTGCTGCTTTGGGTCAGCCTGATGAGGCTCCCTCAGGCTGTCATCTCAGTGCTGCTCCTCCTGTCCCTGCTTTTCACCCAGTGCTTTTGCCCTGGTGGTCATTAGCCTGGGTCTAGCACCAGGTCTCTCTTCATCCTGCTGGTGCTTTTTACAATGCTTTTCAAACCTGGACATCCTGGCATGTGCCCAGCTGCAAACAGTGGGATGGCTGCTCCCCGTGGTGAGTCCTCATGTGCAGCTGGAGGGAGGAGGACCTGGAGAAGGTTCAGCTACACACTGAGCAGCTGTGAGGCCCACATGTCTCCTGAGTCTGCAGGTGCTGCTTGAAGGACAACACCTCCTTGAAGGACAACACCTGCTTGAAGGCCTTCCCACAGGCACAACACTTCTAAGTTCCTCTCCCCCAACCTGAGAAGCTGGTGCAACACCAGCTGGGCAGAGAAGCAGAAGTTCTTCCCACACCTGTCACACCTGTAGGGACGTTCCCTGGTGTGCAGGTGGCAGAGGAGCAGCCTGACCTTCCAGGTTTTGAGGATGTGCCTGTTTGAGGCTTTTAACTGTAAAGCAACTGTGATGAAATTTAGCAGAAAAAAGCTCTTTACACATGAAATTGCCCAAAACACAGGTGAAAACTGTAGATAAGTTTTGATCTTAACAAAGTTTAAATGTTCAAGCAAGTCAGAATTTCAAGAGCTGTACTGAAATGTTTAATGTGCTTTTTGTTTTAGGTTTGACTTTACAAGGCAACTTGTCTCACTGGCATCAATACCTCAATACAAAAAAAAATTTACAATGCTCTATTTGCTAGAAAACCTACAACATTAAAATGGGGGGTAGGTAGTTCTTTCCTTTTCCCAGCTGTTCTGTTACAAGGAGTATCCCACAGTCCACCGGTAGAGGTTGCTGCACTTAATAAGTTACACAAGTTCTGTACATAATTACAGTCATAGTAGAATATGCAGCTGTATAATACACCACAGTAAAACACCATGAGGGCAAAG